GGGGGGTAATAGTTGGGGTGGGGGGTCAAAACTCTAAATGTTAAACTTAGTACTGTTATATAATATATTTTTAATTTTGGGGCTTCAATGAGTTTAATACATTTGCTCAGTATTTTCTCAATGAGAGAACAAAAATTATACTTTCTGAAGAGGTAAGCGCAAAGAGGAGGCCAATAATGTTCATGTAAATTACGAAGATACAAGAGGAAAACCTGTCACCACTTTTTACTTTTAATTTCAGACTCATATTCTGTCGTGATATAGTATGATGGCTAATGACACAAATATAATGAGATCAGAATGTTTTTAATTACTGTCCATATTGTACGAGAAATGCTCGATCATAAACACAGTTGTTTGATGGCAAGCAACTTATGACTCATGACTATGAAGCTGAAAAAACAAATACAAATGAAATTGTTTATTGGATTGATAATGAAAATGCCCTCTCCACACAGTTGTTATATGACATAGATCAAATTATAAAGAGTAGTTTGTATTTTCGCTCTATTGATATTTCAACAACTTCACAAAACTCTAAAATTTGTCAACATTAAAGAGGTTAAAGCGGCAACACTCTGTATTAGTTTGTTACTTTATCCTGAATGAAATATTATATGACATCCTTACAGCTGCATGCTCCCTTTTAGACCGCACGCAAGTGAGCAGCTGTGCTGCATGTACAGCATGTATGTCACAGTGTTGGCCGTGACAAATGGTTTTGAGAAGCTCACACATGTCCGGTGGCACTGGGAGTGACAGCTATCCCTCGGACAGGAAGTCCACCCTTAAAGAGCCGCCTCAGCAGCTAAAGTTGGACAGCAGTGTTATGATTTTGCCTGCTATGGTGACACCCTCCGGCTGTTGGGGATTGGTTTGTCTCCAAAGGAGTGAGTGTGTGCTTACGTGTGCAAGTGTGTGTTTGTGTCTGTGTGCGCACAGGAGTGCGTGAAGGCCTGTGCCACCGGTCTCAAGAAATCACCTTGGGTTTCTGATAGAACATTACTTCAATGTTATTGACAGTTTTTAATAGTTATTATATGAGTAAATTGGAGTTACTCTTGTTATGATGCAGGTTGCGGTTGAGCCCATCCATCCGGCAGACCTGCAGCTCCTGCAGCAGCAAGCAAACAGATGTCTGAGAGAGTGCCCACTCTGCTGGCTAAGCTGCTAAAACCACCCGCGGGCCTGGAGGCCTCAATGGCACTTCTTTCCAAGAGGCTTTATTCTCTACATCACTGTCTCGCACCCCCAGCCACCCATCCCAACCCACCATTTCTTTCCAAATATCGTGTCTGTTACTACTAACATAAAATGTTAATATAGAATGCTGAAAAAGACCACATCTATGTTAAAAAAAAATAAAAATAAACAATGTCACTAATCCACCAAGTTTACACCAGAAGAATACATGCGAAGAGCGACAATAGAAAAAAATAAGTTTGGAGGAATAGAGCATGTCCTCCCCATTAGAAATGACTGTAACTCAGTAAATAAATGAAATCTGAGGGAGAAAGAAACAGAGGAGCATATTCGAAAACTGCTAATCTCAGTGTCCTGTTATGTGGTGAAATCTGAGACTGAAACACCTCCAGGGGATAAGAACGGCCTTTTAATGGATTAAATTACTAAATACCCTATTTCATTTTGAAGGACATAATTAGTTTAAATAACTGATGCCCCCTTAAGAGAGAACATTGATCAGACAGTTGAAAGTGAAGGAATGCAGCCTGTCGCATAATAAGCACTTAAGTGAATGGTTGGAACCGCCTATTTTCTTAAAAGACACCCGATAAGAGAGCTGTAAATAATACTTTGAACTTCTCTCTTTTTTGTCTTTCGTAGTATTGAAATACTAAGTTGAAAGCTTGATTAAGTTATGTTGGTTTAATATTGGAAAGGAGTGGGTAGGGGGGTTCCAGTATAGGAAGTTTAGCCCTGGAATTTTGAAGCTCTTCGAAGACGGGCACTTTCAAAGATTCTTCTTCAGCATTCCTTAATTTGTGTTCTGTGTGTTCGTTAAATTATTGAAATTAATAAATGAAATTAATATTGCACTGCTGCTGCAGCATGCAGGATTTTAGATAGATCAAAATAACGTGTGCAACAGTATGATGAAAGGAATACTCACTTCATGCAGTGGGAGATAATGAATAACCAGGAGGTGTGGCCTCAATGGCACCTCAAAGCATGCTTTGGAATTGAGGGATGCGAGGGATGCACACAAAAAAATGAAAAAATGGTTTTTTCATTAAAAAAAACACTTCAATGAGCTGCTTTTTAAGTCAGACTTATTTGCAGAAACTGATTAAAAAAATGAAATATAATTTTTTATTCACATTTCTACAAGTATCTTCACACAATATGTTTAAACGTCAACTGTTTAAAAAAATTGAAATATTGAAATATTTTATGAATGCATTATACCTTTTAAGAAAATAGAATGGTATTGCCAGTCATTATTTTCTTACAATGTGCTTCTGTCGTGTTTCTGCTGTATCTACCCGAATATTAAAATAGGTTTTGACACTTAATCTACTCAAAATAAAATGACCGTTGTTTTCCCATTAACTGCACACATCACCAGGCTTTAGTGAAAATATCCATGACAAATCTTTGTAGTGTAGCTCTGTAGTAATTCCACCATCACCTTCCTCACTGTTGATATGTCAACCAAAACATCATATTTAGCTGTATTTAGATATTTTTGCTATTTTTTATTATTTATTTCTGAAAGGTCAAGTATATTATGATGTCTATAGATTCTATATGCATTGTGAATCCATCCCGACCTCATCCCTATTCTCATATGCGACACCCACACCGG